ATAGCCTGGCATCGACTCCTCAGGAGTCTGTGTCGTCGATTCCCCTACACAGGATCAGAGAGATGGAATCAATCACCAGTGTGCCGGTCGTTCCCGAGTTGAACGACTCTGCGCGCTCACTTGAAGACCCGGAAATGGACGATATCACCACGAAACGAGGTGAAGCCGAACCGACCAATGTTGAGGGCAACAATTCATCGCTTTCTTCCGGGAAACATCGGAAACGTAAGGCGTCAGACCTTGCCGAGGAGCATCAGGATACCAGCATCGATGCTCCCAAGAGGTTAAGGTCAGAAAGCAATGTATTGAACACAGCTGGCAAAACAGGGATCGCCGCGACTGCATCGTCGGGCCCAGCCAGAAGGTCAACCAGGCAGAAGACGAATCAGAAATAAACCGGTTCATGAACCGACATGGCCCAAGCTGGCCTATACGTATATTTAGATAATACAAGAATTAGATGCCAAATGATATCGGAATTCTTCTATACATTCATCTTTCATACAGTCCTTCCTCTATGCATATTCTTTGTTAAAAGCGCGCCCGATCACCATCCGTCTGATCTCACTAGTACCGGCTCCGATCTCGTAGAGCTTCGCGTCTCGGAGCAGCCGCCCAGCAGGGATCTCGTTGATGTACCCATTACCGCCCATAAGTTGAATAGCATCCAAAGCACACTCGGTGGCTCTCTCGGCAGCGTACAAGATGGCGCCCGCGCAGTCCTGCGTGCGGATCGAAACCTCGCCGGTAGCTGCGGAGTTATCGATATGTCGTGCCGTAGCATAGGTATAAGAGCGCGATGCTGAAAGCTTGGTATACATATCTGCCAGCTTTCCTTGAATAAGCTGGTTGTGGGCAATGGGAGTTCCGAACTGTTTGCGAGTATGGGTATATGGGAGCACGAGGTCGAGGGCTGCTTGCATGATTCTATTAAATTCCAATTAGCGCCATCATCTTCAGAACATAAATAATTTTCACTGCGAGGGTAGCCTACCCGAGTGGACCAGCGCTCAGGACAAGCCGTTCGAGATCAAGACCTTCCATGAGAACTCTGACGCCCTTGTTCAACTCCCCGAGGAGGTTCTCCTTGGGGACGAAGACATCTTCAAAAACGAGTTCTCCGGTGTTCGATCCACGCATACCGAGTTTGTCAAGCTTGCGCGCGCAGGAGAAGCCCTTGAATGTCTTTTCCACGACGAATGCGGAGATGCCCTTGGAGCCCTTTTCCGGCTCTGTTTTGGCATAGACGACAATATAGTCTGCGTCAGGACCCTAAATCGTAGTCAGGGTCAGTGCCAGTGCTCACACGAGCTGCTGTAGGATTAATTACTACTCACGTTCGTGATCCACATCTTGGTGCCGTTCAGCACCCAACCACCGTCGACTGCTTTAGCAGTCGTCTTCATACTGACAACATCAGAGCCTGCGGAGTGCTCTGACATGGCCAATGCTCCGACCTTCTCACCGGACAGGAGCCCAGGGAGGAACCGAGCCTTCTGGTCTTCAGTACCGTTCAAGGACAGTTGGTTTACGCAGAGCTGCGAATGTGCTGCGTATGACAAAGCGATACTCCCTGCAGACCAAACGAGTCAACCTCAAGTTCGAAAGCAAGCCTTGAAGAGCCGCAACAGGGGCAAATACCTGAAGCTCTGCTGAGTTCTTCCATCACTACACAGTGCGCTTGATAGCCCATGCCAAGTCCACCATACTCCTCGTTGGCAGTGACACCAAGAAACCTAGTGAAACACAATTAGTTCTTGTATGGGACGAAGATGCCTTGAAAGCACTAACCCGGCGTCGCCAAGTTTCTTCCACATCTCTGCCGGGAACTCATTCTGTGAATCTGTCCGAGCGGCGACCTCCTCAGGTATTTCGCGCCCTTGAATACGCATAAGTATCGGAGAAAGGCAGATATAACGTGATAATCGGAAGATGAAAGGTCCACCACATACTCGTAAACTCTTGTACTCGCTCTCTCAGCTCCAGCAGCTCATCCTCGGTGGGCGGTACGAATCCCTTGGGATGTTTGGTTGCCAACGACCTTGATGCGGGGGTGTAGATGAGCGGCGTCCTCACCCTGCAAAGCGTCCGAGACGAAGTCCGAAATAGAGACGCTACTGAAGCCATAGTGAACGAGAATAAACACTCTTCCAAGGGAGATTTGAGAATTCTCAGGTGGCGCAAGAGAATGATGAATATTAGCAGAATCAAAGCCGAGGATGGTTGCATTTACATAGCGATGCGAGGCGGAAAGAAGAGCGGGCCAGCGGCGGGTAAACGCGGCAATCGTCGCTGTTTCTTCTCCGCAGCCGTTAAGCTGGAGTCTGGGGACTCATCGTCATGCCCTTCCTTTTTTCTTCTCCATCAACAACCCGCGGCCTTTCCTCTCTCAAAGTCTTTTTCCACGTTCTTGAGGACATTGTCCTGTCTTCTGAGACCACTCTTAGAATTTCAGGCAAGGCCATGCCATAAATACCCCCGGTCACCTGCTGAACATCAACATTTCCTTTGCTCCACAGTCATCCCCGCAATGCGTGCCCCATCTCCGCTCCTCCGGGGCTTGTGCTCCAGAGCAACCACCCTTCCGTATCCTCGACGACTCCCAGCACAAAGAAACCTGGTTTTAGCATACTCTCGCATCTCGTCACGATCTGTGGCCAACTATACACATCCGCATCATGCCAGCGCCATTTCCGTGCTCCCCACTGCGGTGGACACCACCACCGCTGAATTCCAGGAGAACGCGCAGCAGATGAGAGAGCTGGTGGACCGAATGGCTAGTCTACACAAGACCATTGCACAGGGAGGGCCGCAAAAAGCTAAGGAGAAGCATGTCGCTCGAGGAAAGATGCTCCCGCGCGATCGTGTCACCGCGCTGATTGATCCAGGGACGTCCTTCCTGGAGCTTTCACCCCTAGCTGGCCATAGCGTCTACCCCGGGGAAGACGTTCCCGCTGGAGGCATTATTACAGGCATTGGCCAAGTGGAGGGCGTTACCTGTATGATCGTGGCTAATGACAGCACTGTCAAGGGAGGAACATACTACCCCATTACCGTAAAGAAGCACCTTCGCGCGCAAGCAATTGCCCAGGAGAACAAGCTTCCATGCCTCTACCTTGTCGATTCGGGCGGTGCCAATCTTCCCCACCAGGCAGATGTATTCCCCGACAAGGAGCATTTTGGACGGATCTTCTTCAACCAGGCTAGAATGAGTTCACTCGGGATCCCTCAGATCTCTGTGGTCATGGGCCCCTGCACGGCTGGAGGCGCCTATGTCCCAGCCATGAGCGATGAGACTATCATAGTCGAGAACCAGGGAACTATCTTCCTGGCTGGTCCTCCTCTGGTCAAGGCAGCGACGGGTGAAGTCGTCTCCGCGGAAGATCTGGGTGGTGGCCAGCTGCACAGCACCATCTCCGGTGTCACGGATTACTTGGCCGTGGACGATGCCCATGCCATTGTCCTCGCTCGGAGATCCGTCGCCAATCTCAACTACCCTAAAACAAGCGTACCTCAGGTCTCCGCAGATACCATCAAGGAGCCGCTGTATGACCCGGCCGAGCTCGACGGCATCGTCGGAACCAACCTCCGCCGGCAGATACCAGCGCACGAAGTCATTGCCCGTATTGTCGATGGCAGCGAGTTTGCGGAGTTCAAACGTGACTACGGGACTACCCTTGTGACTGGATTTGCTCGTATCTACGGCCACCAGGTCGGCATCGTCGCAAACAACGGCATTCTATTTTCCGAGTCTTCCCTAAAGGGAGCGCACTTCATTGAACTGTGCGCTCAGCGCAAGATCCCCTTGCTATTCCTTCAGAACATCTCCGGCTTCATGGTCGGAGCAGATGCGGAGAAGGGCGGGATCGCTAAGAACGGTGCCAAACTGGTGACTGCAGTGGCTTGCGCGGACGTTCCCAAATTTACAGTTGTGTTCGGCTCCAGCGCGGGAGCAGGAAATTACGGGATGTGGTAAGCGCCCTTGCTATGCTGTATTTACCTCGAAAGGCACAGTGCACTAGGCTAACTTTGCTCCGTCTCCTATAGCGGCCGCGCATACTCTCCACGACTGATGTTCATGTGGCCCAACGCGAAGATAGGTGTCATGGGGTCCGAACAATTATCTGCTGTCATGGAGGCAGTCGGTAAAACCGCCGATCCCGAACTGAAAGCACGGATCGACCGTGAGTCGGAAGCGATATTTTCTTCCGCTCGTCTCTGGGACGATGGTGTCATTCCGCCAGCACAGACGAGACATGTTTTGGGCCTGAGTCTTGCGGCTGCTCTTGGGGGCAGAGTAGACAAGGATGTGCAGACTCGTTTTGGTGTATTCAGAATGTAAACCTATAGCGTAATTCAGCGGTCATTACTCACGAAAATCGCTTTGTGTACGTTTCATATAGATTGGACCCGTATTCCAGTCAGTAACGGGCAGGAAGCGAACTGTGATGGAGCGGTCAAGTCGGCAAATTCCTCGATTCTTCTAGAAAATATGTGGTATACAAGAATAGTAGGAACATGATACCAAGCTGATGCAATGAAGTCAACCCGATTCTCCTGGAATCGGTTCAGACTGAGCCTCTCAGGAGACCAGGGTAGACAAGAACATGAGGAACGTTGATACCAATTGCAAGAACAACACGGGAGGGACGGTCGAAGAAGGGATAAGAGAAAATCATCAGGAGAGCACTCGACAACTTTTCCAGCCTTTAAAGTCAGGTGGCAACTTGTAATAATGAGAATAGCTCGTTATAGTTGAACAACATTCTACCGTTGGGAAGAGCACGTAAATGGCGTATAGTGTAGCATGATATGGGGCACCTCGTGAGGAAATTGTACGCAATTGATGGGTATGTGTGAGTGTGAAGGATGTCTGTCGAAGCTCAAGATGTACGAGCAGTGATACACAGAACCGATGGACAGGAACGAGCAGGAATTGGACGTTTTGGTGGGGGGTTCTTGCTGCAGTCGTAGCGTTGGTGCTGTTGTCGATTTGGGATTTATAAGATAACGCAGGGGCCCTTTCGTCGTTTCTTTTCTTTCTTCTTATCGTAACGACCGGCGCCTTCACGCTTTCTCGCTGAATTGTCGGAGCCACTGGACGAGTTTCCCTGCATGTCTTTTCTGATTATCTGCCGGCAAAGATCAATAAAGACCTCGTTGACGTTCGCTCTCCTACGCGCTGAAGTTTCATAGTAGGGAGCATTACCCCAGCTCTGGGAAAGTGCGAATGCTCGAGCTCGCGGAACGGCGCGGTCTTCCTCCAGATCGGATTTGTTGCCCACAATGACAATGGGGACTTTTTCATCATCCTTTATCCGGATAATCTGCTCTCTCAGCTCGGACAACTCGTTCAAGGATGACATGCTGGTGATAGAGAATACGAGCAGAAAGCCTTGACCTTGCTTCATGTAAAGCTCCCTGGAGAGTGAAAGAAACAGGGTTAGCACCACGTGGCGAGCTGAAGCTGGCGTCTACATGATAAACATGTTTGGTTGGAAAAGCGAAGAAACCATCGGCAAAGGAGTGAATAAGATAAAATTACCTCATAGCGGCTACAGAATCACGTTAGCCAAAAGGTCATAATATCAAACAGCGGGCGAACTTACTGAACTGCTCGGTCCCTGCCGTATCGAGTCTTTAGAACAATCCAAGCGTCAGTACTCCCAAGCTAACAGCAGTGGCAATTCTCCCAGACAGTAAGATCCTGCGAAAACATACATTTCCAGAATACATTGCCGGCCCTAGAAGAGTCAGCATTAAAAGCGCGGCGCAAACGTCGGAAGCGACTTACATCGACCTCAATCTGCTTTCGATAGGAGTCTTCAATCGTGGGATCATAGCTTTCGATCCACACATTCTGAACGAATTGGGCTGCGGAACATCAGACGGTGTACCTCATTGGTGGTGATCCTTGAATTGGCAACGCAGTTCTCACAGCGAGCAAGAAGGGGGAACAAGGGTGGAATGAGCATGAGAAAAGCACGTACCAGTAAGACAGCTTTTCCCCACACCTCCTACAGCGCAGACAATCGATAATCAGTTAGCCGCAAAATACCTTTTGGGCGTCTTCCGGCAGAAGGAATATATCTACCTGCGCCTAGAACCACAATGTGATATTCCCGTCTAGCAATTGACACATAATAATATCAGTAACCTGTTACGCAGTCTCCCTCAGATGAGGATATCTCTGACAGGACGACTCACTGGGGCCGCATCGAGACTGTACGGACTCTTTCGATAGACAGTCACCCTTTTAGACTTCGCGCAGGTTGTCAGTGCATAGCTCTAACATCAAAGGCACGCAATTGGAGGTGTGCGTTATCTACCTGTCAACGCTGTCGCCAATGTGCTTCGCAGAGGGGTGTAACCAAGTTCGATCGAATTTCGGAGTGCGTTCGGTAGGGTATGTCAAAGGCTCGCTGCTGGTATCCTCGTTTAAATCGTAGCCGGTCGGGTAATGGCCTGATTTCCTGGCTCCCAATGGAAGAGCAAGGGCGAAGATACGCGATCCGTTACATCAGTTTCCAATGCCAATTGCGAAGCAATTCCTCCGACCCAGGGTTATATCGAGCCCTTTAATCAAATCACACCCAGAGGTTCGCCGGTTCGATAATGAGGGACGGTGGTGATTAGGGAACGATGCGCTCGAAAAAAGAAAAAAAAAAAAAAAGGTCAGGGAAAAAGAAGGTTGATGTCAACAGATTGGTTCCAACGTCCGGAGGCTAGGCCGGGCTAGTCTGGTCACTCCTGGTACGACCGAAGAACGGGTGTGGGGAGAGGGGAAGGAGCGATAAGAAGCGGTTCCGTTTCGGAGGAAGGCTTAAGATCAAACAGGTTACTGGACACGATGCAGAATGGTCAACATGGCACGCAATGGAATTGCACGCAAGGGAGGTCACTGACCCTTCCCCAGTTTTCTGGTTTGAACTCAGAATCCGAACGTGACGACTAGGAGGCGGTGAGAATGTGCGATGGTTGTGCGGACACCACGGGCGATCCAATATCCGCGATTAAACTCTAAACCTCAGGAAAAGAAGCGAACGGCCGTGGAATTCTCTTGGAATTCCGTGAGAACTCGATAGGCACCCCCTGTCTTAATGGCATTATTTGGGTCAGCGTTGCAACGAAAGGTTAAACGGTGATGGAGTTGTGGTTACTGGTGTCTCCAAAGGACCTATCAAACTGGCGATGGTGGTGTTGGCGTATGTAATGATGTATTGCTGAAACCACCAGGGAGTGCGGCTTTTTTTTACCCCATGTTCTTCCTGAATCTGGGGAATTCTAATCCAGGAGAAAAAGAGTAACCGGAGAGTCGGTCCTGAGTCCTAGTCATCGACGCTCAGGATACATTTTCACAGTCAGATCAAAAGACGGACGTATGGCACGCTTGGGTTGAACGCTGCCACGAACGTCTCAGATCCACGGGGAAGGGAAAGAGATGGCGGCAAGTCAAACATGACAATGCCATATTGATGATTACTAGGGAAACTCATCCGTCATGTTCAAATGATGTGACCAGGCAACCCCTCTGATACACCGGGTGGAGGGAAGGTAAGGGAAACGACGGGAGTGTAGAGATGAAGGCCTAAGTTGGGCTACTTACAGTCCGAAGTGAAGTCCAATATTCGGCTGAAATAGGAAAGAAGTCACTCAATGAGATAATCGATAGAGATTAATAGGACTATTTGTGGCGTCCAGGATGACAGAAGGTGTCTGCTGGGGTTTATAATCGGGCACCAAAAGCAGGTTTTGTGGGAACGGCAGATTCAGTAGATCCAGTATGTACATACTCTCCAAGATCGTCCGTAGGTGTCTTCGGGGAATCATTGAGTTATAATGATGCCAGAGGATTGAGAGTCATAGAATGAGAATTTCTGCTTGGCGCTTCAAAATCGAGAATCTACATGATGGCACCAGGGTTGCAGACAACCTCCCACCATTCAATGGAGATGCCAGGAAAGTCCTTGAAACATACACATATTTTTTTTTGAGAGAACTTACCTGTCAACTCTTTTCCGACATCGGCTCAGTAGTTTGTCTGCCATCGCGGTTGTATGAACCTATCGGCTGGGTCTAGAGCTGCAGATAATTGACGTAGATGATGTTGACAAACATGACAACTCAGTCTGCCAGGAACACGTACCTAAGGTAGGATTACGCCAGACGCCATTACATCCTGAAGCGGCACTGTACATTGGAAGGCCATACTAACACCCGAGCATTGGTATTCAAGGAAGAATCATTCGGAAAGAGGGGCATGGTGAGGGAGCGTAAGTCTGTGCCTCTATCATATGACTGACGCTTGACAGGTCGAATCATGACTGGGACAGATCTCGATGATAACAGTATATGTGGATACATCGGAGATATTCTTATTATCTGTACAGATGCAACGTAGTATGCGGGTGCCTGGCATTCACTCTGCGTCTGTCCATCAAACACAGACAGGACGCTCTGCCAATCATTGTGTCACACATAGGTAGTCCGCACACATCGTCAGACATCCCTTCAATTTTCCACGGGGATACGTTTGCATTTTGTGGTCTGCTAGCCGCTATAGCCTCGACACAATGATACAACATGGCCTGTCTTATGGCTTCTTAAGGCGGATGTCATGGTACCATTGATGAGAATGTACCACTGAAGCCAACACGATTGGAAAAGTCAGGCAACGCAACATACTTTGTAAGCGCTATTTGGAGCTGAGTCTAGTTATGGACAGATCTATGGTATATAACTGAACGGAGAGTTGGCGCAAGCTCTGACGTAATTGTCCAACGGATACCAAGCAACCAAAAATCGCTGAATCCATAGTATCCCCGTACATCCACAGCAAAATAGACGGGAAGACGTGACCGCTATAAAAGAATAAAAGGCATGGTAGCAGCAGGTTTTCCTTGAAGCTGTAGGTTATATCAAGCCGTTGGTCTGTCTGACTGCTATGTGCCCTTGCTTTCCGCTATATTCTCCGGAGCCGTACCGCTCAAGAGCCTCAAAAACGTGTCCAAACACCTGTTGGTCCACGTCTCTTGCCCAGAGGAAATCCAAGTGCTCATAACTTGGAATCGACTTGGCCACGGTGCCTTGTGGGAGCTCTCGCAACATCGCCCCGATATCAATCAGACTGTCACTTCCACCGTATAGGAGAACAACCGGGGTCTTGATGTTCCTCGTGGGGTACTTGACCGGTTTGTAAAATCGTTGACTTGCCACAACGCTGAACGGAGCATGGACTTCATCATCGTACATTTGAAAGGTCCTATGCCGCATGATTTGAAACCAATGCACCACCGACTTTGTGCTAGTGAACGAATAGAGGTGCAGGTAACTTGCCAGCTTCTGATAGCGGCTGATGTTCTTGCCCTCCCAATCGAAAAGAATTGAAAGCGATGCGTCGATTATTCGAACGAAGATTGGAGGGTAGAGGATTGTCTGCCACATAGGGGTGGAACTGAGGATGCTGCGTCTACCAAAGAGGAGAAACAGAAAGTTAGGTGAAGCCTTCATCAACGAGTCCACGATACGATTCCGCAGTCCTGAGGGCGCCATTGCAGGTGCAAGGGCTACAAAGACGTCTATCTGCTGATTGAGCAACGGATGAATCGATAGAGCCGCAAAGGCCTGTGCTGTTCCTTGCGAGAACCCGATATACGACAAGGAAGCCTGTCCTGTCACATTCAGAATGTAGTTAATGCTGTCGGGGATATCGTAGAACGCAAACTCGTCCATCGAAAAGCCCCAGAACTTAGTGGACAGGGGAGAGTGACGGATAGACTTCTTAGAATATTTGTTGCCACGATTGTTCCCAAGCCAGACATCGTATCCTCTCTCCACTAGCTGAAAAGGGAGACATCGTTGAGCATCCGTCAAACACACCCAGACTTCGCTGCACATCAAAAGACCGTGATGGAGGTAGACAACCTTTTTCTCAAGGGTTCCCTCCCCCCGGTTGACGAGGCGACCTTCCTCGCCTCTGCGATAGGCCAGGCGGTGTAGACCTATCAGAAAGCCATCCTTCGTCTGCACGATGTGCTCCTCCGCCTCATATCCGAAAATGGCACAAATGTCTGCAAAGTTGGAGGCCTGCGCGACCTGTGCAGCGATCTGCTCCTCGTTGCCACGCTTGTATAGTCTCTCTGCCGGGATCAGGAAATTAAATATGGCCTTGGAACGATTGTGACAGAACTCGATCACAGGCTCCGCTTCTCTAGATTAGCCCCTTATCCTCAACGTGCCTTGAATAGCAATTGGAGGCTGTGAAAACTGAGACCCGAGGCGCCTCCTTAGTATACTTACGCAGCAAGAATGTAATAAAATGTATGACCCATTCCAGCAGCACTAGAATCAAGGACGCGAAAAGCGCAAGGTATTCGAACCAAAACAGTCGTCCGATCAGTGGCATGGCCATGGTGATGTTATGTTGACCACCTGCTCTGGCGGATGTGGTTCAATGAAGGGGATTGGAAATAACACTCGCAGTCATCGGCGCCGACTAACATGATGCGCTGGATCAAGGGTCAAACGAGAATGCTTCATGGTCAATGGTTCGTCTTTTATGAGATCAACCAAGACCTCGACGTCATGCGGCATCGCACCGTCCATTTTCATGTGATGCTTACCTAATCCGGGGACAAGCAGAAGCCAAAGAGGGCTAGCCCGGATTTTCGCCGCCAAGGAGATTCCGACGATCTGATACCAGACAGTTTGATTGTGGTTCGTCAGGACAGCCCATCGACGCGCTTTCTGCACAACTGCACGATGCCGAGCTCATGCAGAGATATAAGTGAGTAATTCTCAATTTACTTATAACCATTGGGGCGTTTCCCACGAGCCACGTTCCACGTCCCTTCCGTGATTCTCACCATCAATGCGACATATCTGGATGCTAATGAGTTTGGCGGCTTTTCTCAGGAGACGCACTGGCGCAATGCCTGCAAGAGTCGGACTGCATCATGGTCCAGCGGCACACCCCGCGTGAATGCTTGAGCACCCCTCTCGTCGATGAACTGCCTATGAAATGCCAACAGCTGCGGAAAGGATTCAGCGAGTGCAAGTGAGTGGAACCGACGTATGTGCTGTAATTGCAGTGGATAGCGCTGACAACGGGCACGATCTAGGCGTGGGTTGATCGACATGCGAAAGCGATTCCGTGGAAATCAGCCCATTTCAGTTTCCAGGGAGCTCGAAGGAGGCAAATCCCAGTCCCACCAGCAACTATACGCCGGCAAGCCCGCCTTCGAAACCGTTAAGGAGATCAGTGGAAATGAAGTGCAGATGGACCCTGAGAAGACTAGGGGACTATAATTTTCAAGCTCGCGACTCACGATACTGGCTAGATGCCTACATCCGCTGTCCTGAATTAAACCACCTTTTTTTGCTCTCATCTCCTGGCATGGTTTGGAGTTTCCAGTTGGCGGAATGTTTGTGCTTCCCGATTTTTGTGTAACACTACTGGTTTACGGCATATGACTGTACATACTTTTGAATTATGGCTTTCCGGCGTAAGTACACACTTCATTGTGAACTATCATTCGTGAAATTCTACAGACGATTATTGCGTCTTCTTTGTGTTTAACGCAGCGGCAGAAGGTGCTGAGTAAAGCCACGCAACGACGAACACCAAGAAGCCAGCGATGACGGACCACAGACCCGCAATCCAGACCCATCCACCGCTGATCTTCCAGCTTCGGGGGTACTCGTTATGAGCGAAATGACGAACGGTCACCTCAAGTTTTTCTTCGATGTTGGTGAGGAACGGACGCTTGTAGTTCACTCGGAAGGAGAAGATTCCATGCTGATCGGGTGTGGTGAATCGTGTGCTGTAGACTGTACTGTTATCCGTTTGGCGGACGGGTTCCAAGTTCAAGCGATGGAAGGGAGACAACATGGTAAACTCAAGCTGGACGGCATCGCCAGTCGGAACCCTGAAGGGCACGTAACGATCATAGTCGTACTCGGAAAGCTCAATGCTAAAGACCTATTGAGAAGTGTGAGTATGCAAAAAAGGCAGTGGAACCTCAAAGGGCTGTCTCGTACAGTTTCGTTCTTGACCCGATAGATCTTAGGGTTCAGCTTCTCGGGAGTGATTTCACCATCTTCAGCCAGATGATGCTCAACCTTTCCGACTTTGAGCACTCCGGTTTCTTTGAATGTCCATGCGGTAAGCTGCTTGGCGAACTCCTGGTTGACCGTCTCCGTCTGCTTCCCATCGCCGGGAGCCCTGACAGTCGCAGAAAACCACTGATCCTGCAGACTCTCCACGGAGCCCAGGACAGTGAACCGAGCAGAGTTTCTAGCCTGCATGGCCGAGACCAGAGCCAACTGCGAACCTGTAGCTGCAACATCCTCAACTGATGACGCGTCCTCCTTGGGGTTGTAACTGTATGCAGTGGCGGGCGCTCGCAGAATAGGCGCGATGAGAGGGTTTGCGTCACCTAGGGTGTGGGGGACGGCCCTGGGAAAAGCTACGACGCCTTCCCCATCAAAGAAAGCCTTGGTGTCAGACCTCAGCTTGCCTGGTCGCTGGAGTAGCAAGACATCATGCTTATCAGAAGCAGAGAGTGTATCGTAGTTGAAGTGATCGACGGTGACAGAGGAACGATCGACAGGGAGATGGAGATCGAGCTCCAGCAGCAACGAGCTGATAGCGCTGGCGGTTGTGGACTTGCCGGACAAGGCGAGGAGGACGTTGCCGTCCTTGTTCAGGAATTCAAGGATGTTCTTGGGGGTAAGGGAGGGTCCATAGCCTGGTCAAGAGGTCAATTGAGATGTACAAAGCAGATCATATGGACATTTGTAAGTGTAGCGCTCACCCTTTGACTTGGGAGGCAGAAGAAGTAGATGGTCGTAGACTCGGTCTCCAAGCTCGAACAGGCTGAGCTTGTCATCCTTGGGGGATTCGAAGGCGAGGTTATATCCTCGAGCTACCAATTAATGGTTAGATTGTTAAACGCAGAAGTTCAGTAAGTTAGAGCACCTTCTAGATCTCCCCATAATTTCGAGTATAATTCCTTTTCTGCGGCATCTTCCAAAACAACCAGCAGACGACTGCCCGAGCTACTTAACGCATGCACACCTGCCAAGAAGCAGAATGCCAGAAGAGTGAGGCACCACCGCATGGTATATCAAATTCCGCACAGCGGAGCGGGCAATTGACTGAAAGGAAAATCGCTGCAGTCCAGGAAAGAGAAGGGAAAGAAGAGGGAAATGAATTGATAGAGGAGAGTATCCTCTGGAGGAGCTTCGTCAGTTGCGTTTAGTTAGAGAGAACGGGCAACGTGTTTGGACCGAGAGTGCCAAGACCTCTTCGCCGCTTTGAACTGCGCAATCGTCGGCCGTCGTCGCTCACAACCTCCATTCGACGATATCCCGCCTCTCCGTCACGATACCCGCCCCTCTGGCGCGATTTAACCAAGTCTCAAACAATTGGAATTCTCGGAAGACAGAATACGTGATTTGAGCCGAGCTTCGCTCAATTGATTCTTTGATCCAATCCGTCCGTCACGCTCCACGACCTTCAACCGAATTTCGCAAAATCCTTTTGATCGTCGACCTCGACCTTCGTCTCACAACCATGACTACTCCCCAATTCTGGTCGACTCCTCTCCGGTACCTGCGCTGGGCCTCGCATGAGAAGCCAGCTATCTTCTACTCCTTGGTCGTTGGAGCGACAGGTCCTCTCATGCTGGTCACCCTTCCCCCCATCAGACGGTTCTTCGGTGATGTTGACCCGGAACCTATTCCATTGACCTATCCCCGTAAGGACCTCCGATATTTTCTGCTTTCCTTATGCTCTTCTGCGATGTATTCTCGGTCGCTGTGGCGCTCGCATGCTAACATATTCAATCCCTAATCTCAGTTCCCCAGGGACCACGGAACAGCCCGCAAGGCTACGATGACGAATAGAATATTTCACGGGGAGAACGAGCAAAATTGATTTGACTTGCTAGAATACTCTTCACTTGGGCAACTCGAGTTGTAACAGTGTCAGACGTCGATACGCTTTGTCGGGCACTGATGACAGACAATCCATTACCGGGGCTGCGTCAATCGGAAGTGCTTGCGGGTTATCATCTTTTATATTGAGTAACCAACGCAGAGCCTTTCAGGCCGTTTACCTACCACCAGATGTCTTCATACTCGTGAACCCCCATGTTGAGCTTGACAGTGCGAGTGCAGCGGTGTATTGTACATGAAAATGATTTAGAGCGCAGGCACTTCCATTCTCGTTTGAACTGACTTTTTTTTACTTCTCTGCATATTCGCATCTCCTTCGAATATCGCTGCATATTGCAGGTTTGATTTCGTCCCTCTTAGATCACATCTCTTGCGCAGATGCCGTTGTAGGCGGAGCCCATCGAGCAGGTCCGTGGCTTCACGAAGCTCCTTAATATGTCTTGTCTGGCTCAAGGAGTGTCGGCGACGGGAGTCGTTAAAAATGAAGGAAGACGCAACTAAGATACTTGGGCTCTGAAATTGGGATTTTCAGCAATCGTGCTAGAAGTTAGACGTCGTCAACGTGCAGCTAAGACGACTCATTACTAAACCCGCGTTTGCCGGATCTTTAACGCATTGAGTAAACTAATCGTTGATGAAAACGTAGCTCCGAATGCCTCGTACCTTTTCATGTTTTACACCTAGTTTGACCAGTCTCTGGAGAGTGAATAAAAAAAGGGCCGACGACAATGCTTGGAGTCGACCTTCAATAACCTGAGGGGGAAACAGCGATTGATTGCCGAGTGTCAACCATAAACATCCATTGAATAGCCACAGAAAGGAATAACGCCATATATGCTCATATCTACATATAAATCGTGGACAACATCACCCAAACATCCAAGCTCCTAACTGATGCTTTTCTTTTGGATCAGCCAGATGCTCCCATCAGAACCAGGACTGCGATAAAAGGCCGTTACACTCCTCGACCCGAACGAAAATAAACCAGAATAAACATGAGAAAACAGACAACCAGGACACCAGCGAGCAGGCAGATTGGGGACGTTCCTCAGGACAGGAGAAAAGTATATTGAACAAAGTGCTCGAAGACCGCCGATACAATGCAAAGCCAAAAAGCCACCTTTAGGAACTCGTCGCAGAGAGGTCTCTTCCAGCCATCCCCATCAATGGTATATGGCAGGCCGGCATCAAGAGTTGGATGCCATTAGCCAGCCAAGGAAAGTATCGGCGACTAGCGCCGCCTGAGATGCCAGGTGAAATGTAACGGAAATTCCAAGGTTTATCCGCGGCGAATTGTCCCGGACTATAAGAGTGGCTCCACAAGCTTGCAAGTCGGACATGAAGGCTTTTCTCAAGACATCCCCTCCGGCTTGGAATTCCCCAATGGCAAAATAAACAAGACAGAGACCCCGTAGAACAGCCAGGACTAATATGCGCAGTACTCCAGGATGATTCTGTAGATTCATTATTTTCCAGGGTTGATTTACCCAGGATAGCCAAGGGTTTGTGACGGTTCCTTGGAGGTATCATGATATAAGCAGGGAAAAAATGGCATCAACTTTTGTCTCTCTACCGGGTTCGACGCGGGGCCTGGCTCTCTCTTGTTGCCTGTGGCCTGTTGCGGTCGAACTCCGGGGTATATCTGGGATCCATTCCTATCCGGGGATCGGGAGCTGTTGTGGCAGGGTAAGTCATTCCAGAGGTGACCGGGGAATAGTCCGACTCAGTTTCATAGCCAGGTCCTGTGTAGCGTGGAGCATTACTTCTCCCGTTCTCATAGGGGTAGCCAGTGTTGCTCGTGTAGGTGTATGATGGGTGCATGTCGGCAGACACTGCGGGCTGGCCTGGAGCAGAGTAAGGGACTTGCGGAGGGTAGGGATTCTGTCCTGCCGCAAAAGGCGAATGACTTGAAGGATATGATGATGGAGCTGTGTATGAGGGGCTCTGGGTTGCACCGTACGGGGCCTGAGTGTATGGATCCACATAGGGTTGACTAGGTGGTTGAGAGTACGCAGGTGGTGGAGATGGGCCTGCTTGCTGGCGCACTTCATGAATAGAAGAAGATGCGTAAGGCGCTGGGACCACGTTAGGGGTTGGACGAACGTTGTAGTCGTGAATGTAACTACCTCTTGGATAGCCTTGGTCAGCGCGACGCATGACGTCTGCTTCCCAGCGAGCGGAGTCCGCTTTGAGATCAGCAATCATTTCCTAAACGTAACAGTCAGCTGAAGTCTCCTCTTTCTTCCTTTCACTGGGCTTTCAATAGATTTCGCACTGAGAAGGGGGGGGGTTTGTTTTCGACATACAGAAGTCAGATTTCGATAAGCACGGATGAAGTAACCCTGACGACCCTGTTCGCAAAGAGTCAGTAGGAGAGCAAACGGTAGGTTTTGACAGATTGAACTGCCTGGGTGGATTTTAAGATAGGGGAGACTGGGAACAGACATTATGGTTTCCGGGTCTTACGAGTGCATCATTTCCAAGGTAACGGCAAATGTCTGCTTGGATGACTTCCCGGCTAATTCCATCACCAGGGATAAAGTACTCGTTCTGACGCTCCGGGCGTCCTTCATATCCATGGCGTCCAGTCATTTTGTCCCAGGGAGTAGGTATCCGGTATTAAGTGATTAAATGCAATGGATCCAAGTGGCCACAACGAAGTCCAGGGCGGTATAAAACAAGTAGCCGAGGTATCCAGGAAGTGGGAAGTTGATAAGATGCTCTCTTGGGTTGATTGCAAAAGAAACAGCACAAGTACGGTTCTATTAGGCCGTGTCCAGGGAACTTCCAAGGCTGATGGTCAAGGCTAATCCGATATTTCCTTCCGCCTCGCAAAAGCACACGCTTAAAATGCAAGCTTCAAAGACGTGAACTGCTGGTTTGGTGATTATTACCAGGAAAAGTAGAAATCCAGGTAGTGCGTATTTGTCCACGGACGGCTGTCTAAGGGCTGTCTTCCAAGATCCTGAAGTGATTTCCTTTTTGTTTTTCTCTCTCTAGAGTGATTTAGATTCAAGGACCGGGACCAAGTCATGCAAGGGAAAAGTCGAAATTCAGGCCGGAATGGATGACCGAGGATCTAGGAGAGCGGGGATCAGGGGTGAAGCTTTGCGTGGGGTTTCTCTCTCCGGTTTGGTGGTGAGTCTGGTACCTCCAACACTTCAAGATTTGTATGAGAATTCTTCGGGCTGGCCGGGGAAAAAAATTGCCAGGTTGCGCACTAGAAGGGACAGAAGGGAAGAAAGAAGAAGAGGAACAAAATATCTACGTGGGAGAGATGAGAAAGGGACGGGGAGATAAGAGAGGCTAAACACGCCAGCTCAGCGCACAGAGGGAGAGAGGGGGTGTGGGCATTGGCACATTGGCAAGGGAAAACAAGGGCTGGTGGGTTGTGTTTGTGCTCATTCGATTCGACCAAGGGCGCGGTTGGCCATTTGGGCTGTTGGGCCGGCGTATTGGGCTGCCTAACCTTGTCTGGTGCCACGACGACTCCACCTTGTCATTGGTGAGAATTCAGAAAATAATAATGATCGAGGCGAAAAGAAAGGTAAAAAGGAAGAAAATACGAAAAGGAAAAATAATAATGATTAAGAACTGGCCTACCTTGTTACCTAGTAAGCAGATACTTACTCCGTACTGTACGAGACTACCTCAGTTCCAAGGTACCTACCTGTCGAGAGAGGACTGACATCTGATGACTGTGTTAAAGTGTCCCCAAGACATGCATGGTGACAAATACGGCCTGCAAAAGAGGAATTTCCTAGGTGTAGGTAGTCGCGCTTCCCGAAAAAATAATGTTTGGACGCCGTCCGTCTGGCCAGTAGTGTCTAGATAAGGCAGGAGGCAAAATGAGACTCTTCGGGAAGTCTTATTGATGGTCTATTGGCTATGATTCAATAGATCAGGAATATGAAGAACCTAACTCGAGTGATGCAGATCAAGGTGTCAAGTTGCACTGAATATACCTGCTGTCATACTACCTAGCCTTCCAGCCAGCGGATAGAAGAAGAGGTGGGAAATTTGAGACTCGAGAAAGGCAACACTGAGTTGGAGGTAGATAGAAACATGCACATAACGTATCAACGGAGTATCTAGAGGCTGCGTAGCCGCACTATGATACTCAATGCTTTGTCCGTCCCTTTAGGGGTGATAAGGTAAATCTGTCCCTAAGTCTTTTCCAGTTTTCGCTTATATATCTGAATCATTGTTTAATCGACCGAGTGACTCATTTCCGTAGCTCGCACTTCGAAGAGTTCCTGAAAACACCTCATATGCATGTCCAGTTGTTCCAGTTTGGAATCTATTGTACAGTTTCTAGCTCAAGATACTTAATATTATTGTCAGTACCAGTCAGCTACGGAGGGAGGATTGAGCACTGAGGAACTGTAGCTGAAGAAATGGCAGACCACATCGAAGGAGGGGCGTTGGGGATTGGCCCTCAGTGCTCGGTAGCAGGCAGATAATCGGCAGAGTGCACAGTTGGGCAGAAATGCGTGGCGGGCTAGAGGGGCCTTTGGGCATCCCAACCCGCTCATTCGTCGATCAAGCATATGGACCCAAGGCTTCAAGTGCGCCAATCTTAAGGTAACAAATGTACCCGCACCGGGCCGCTAATCTACCTCTGGTTGTGCTGGGCGCTTTTCTACCCTTCTTCCATGGATGAAATTCATCATGTGAGAAAGTGGTACTTTTGAGATACTGGAACTCCAGTGACAGCCGCCTCAGTATGGCCGGTGCATGCGAGGTACTCTTGGAAGTTGAAACCCCTGCTTTGTTGTCGCCTCTGATGGTGGTCATCATGATCTCCTGTGGCCAATAGCTTACTATGTCCGTTCCCTCAACTAAGGTACTTACTACATCTACATCATCGTACTTCAGCACCCTCGCTTGACTTCACTTGGTTGGCTGCGTGACTAGTTTCTCTTCATGATGATACAACACATTCTTCT